ATCTCCATCACCTGCGTGCTTTCACATTGAGCAGCATTAACTACACAGAGCCGTTGTTCACTGACGAGCTGCGCTAAACCACGTTCATATTCGCGCGATTTTTTGCGCAACTCGTCAGTGAACAACGGCTCTGTGTAGTTAATGCTGCTCAATGTGAAAGCACGCAGGTGATGGAGATTTACCGCTGATTACAGAACCGGCTTTACTGATAAGATGCGCGTTAAATATCGCATGCGATTTATCGTGCAGCCCTATTTGAAAGTCAAATTCGTGCTAGTATTCAAAAACACTTGACGCCAGAGGCACTGTGGGTAAATATTTGACTTACTGCCCTAGTTGGCTCTTGAAGAGAAGCAAAGTTGCATGATTCATGTAATGTTTAATGAAATGTCTAAAAACACATTTTTGTATTTGATAAATGGTGCTATAAAAAGAAATAAGTATATATAATAAAGAAATTGATGCTTTTATTCAGCAAACATTTATCAAAAGGGACAATGTAAAAGATTTTGATTTCATATAAATGCTGTTATTTTTAACTTTCTATTCATCTGGAAAAAATTAATCAGTTTCCACAAAAATACGAAGCAGCTCAACTTTTTTTCAACATTGATAATAATAAGAAATGCTTCTTGAGCAGAAATTCAGCATATTAGAATGATTTCTGAAGGATCATGTGACACTGAAGACTGCAATGATGCTGAAAATCCAGCTTTTCCATGAGAGGAATAAAGTACATTTTAAAACATATTTAAATTAGAATAATACAACATTTGGACTTTAAGTGACCTTTATCATTTTCCTCAGAACACCAAGCAAGTCCTGGCCGAAGCACTGATGATTTTGCAACAAGTGTCAGAACGGGTTTTTACTTAAGTCTCCTTTCATCTTTTGTGCCTAAACCTGTTGGGTCATGGATGCTTTGGAGAGAATGAAAGCGAGGTTTGTCTCCTGACAATCTGCATTGTGAAGTCCCCATTCAGTCTTTAAACATGTAAATGTACTGTCATCTAGACAACTGGCTCCTGAACCGTTCTGAAGCTGTAGACAGAGAGGTGCTAAAGCAACCAAAGTGAGACCATTACGAAAAAGACAAGATCTGGAAAAAGAAAGCGCTCCCAGTTAGTTTCATGTTTAAGTCTCTGTTCAATCATACAGCTCTTTGTTTCAATAACAAATGCTTATTTATTTTTTTTAATCTTTATTGTCAGCCATTAAATTTCACACATTTAATGTTGTGAATGTTAAGATCAAAAGTTGCAACATCTGTAGGAGGGTTAAACACACATCAGTGCATGTTTAGCTTGTGTCCTGAGGCTGTTCAGTAGGAAGCAGGAAAACGTCCTGACAGATTCCAGAGCATTCCAAAAGACCCTCTTTAAACCAAAGCCCTCCAAATCACAGGGAATCACCTCAGGTCTGATCGTAAAGAGATAAAGTTCCATCAAGAACTTTTATAATCCATGGAACCTTTCCACTCCACCAAAATTCTTTAGATTATTAAAATGTAATAAGAAAAATGTCCTTTGTAATAAGAAAAATGGTTCTTTTTAGAATGTTTTCAATGAAAGATTCTTTGGGGAACCAAAAATGGTTTTTCCTTGGCATCACTGTGAAAACCCCTTTTTTGGAACCTTTATTTTTAAGAGGGTATTTGCTGAAAAACACCAAATGAAACTTTTTCAACAAGTCTGTAAGATACACATCTGTCACCGCATGACAATCTTGCCATTTTCTGCTTTGTGTGAAAGTGTTTTTATCAGTGCTTGGGCTTTAGCCTGTTGGTCTGATGTGGACTGACACGGTTGTGTTTGCTTTCATCACACTAAAGTGTCTCTGGCCATACGCTCCCTCACAGGAAGGTGACAAGAGACAGGAGCCATGTTTGCGCTGGGACGTTTCACTGCCTTCCTACTGTCATTAAAACATGAAAGCAGATTTTAAAGCTGAAACAGCCTCTTTAAAGAATATTGACCATAAAGGTCACAAACGCATTCATTCATTACAATAGTTCATGCCAAAGAGATCAGCATCCTCCCAAAACATACTTTTAAGTATTAAAATGCAACCATTATGTCATAAAACCCAGGACCCGGAAATGGTGAACTTGTATTACTAAAGGGCTAAAACATGATTT